TAAGATTGAGCAGGGCACCTTGAACTGAGCGGCCACTAGCTGCCAATGGGCGGCAGGACGGCAACTGTACTTGGGAGCTGAGCTAGCTGTGCCCTCCACAACTAAGATGGAAGGACAACAACTTGGCTGTTCCCCTTCCTCCAATTCCCCAATTAAAAAAAAAAGAAAAGTGGGGTCCTGAGGGAGGAGGTCCTGCCTGCCTCCCCTGTATTTCTGTAACAGGCAAATCAGCGACATTACCCGACACCGAGGGACAGCTAGGGCAGAGGAATGGGTGCTTGAGAGAACCACCTGGGGTGAGGGTTGGGGTGGGGGGATGGACAGGTTGCTGATCCCAGAAAGGTAAATCAATTCCCTAGAGCTCTGAGGGCCAGCCTAGGATGGAGACAAGATCTCTGGTAGTCCATGCTGGTATGATTCCCTCTGTATTACCCAACCCACAGGAATAGAAAATGGTTTGATGGAGCCCAGGTTAGCAGGACAAACAACGTGTAAGAACTGGGGTGAGGACCTGCGGACAATGACTAGGGAGTGGTGGCACTACTGCGTCATGGATGCCAGCTGGAAGGCACAGGGGTGGGCCAATGAGAAGGGCAGGCGGAGGGATACAAGGGAAAGGCATAGGAACTTGCCGGCGGTTGCTAAGGGAATAAGCAATTTGGGATGACCGGCGGTGGGAAGAAACTAGTGTATTTGAATTTACTTTATCAGAAGTGGAGCTGCTTGGGTGATGAGCTCCGAGGTGAGACCCCTGAAGTGTGAATTCGAAGAGGAGCGTGTGCCCTCGGGAGGCAGCGTGCCCAGGAAGACCTAGGATGAAATGGCTCAGGACAACAGCAGGAGTTGGAGTGCAGGAGAAGGGGCCTCTCCTAAAGTAAACTGAGCAAATGGGGTCCTTGGAGCACTCTAAGAAAAAGTTAAAGATGACTTTGTGAGCTTGATTTTAAGGAAGGAAGCTTGGAAAGAGTGAAATGGAAAGGATTAGGAAGAATTCAAAAGAAGGGAGCACTATCTATCTATTAAAAAAAAAACCCAACAACCTGATTTAGGGTCTTGCACTTGGGCCAGAAGCAAAGGATGATGAGGATTTCCAGTACTATGAGATGGGTCAATCTCAGATTTACAGAAGTTAGCTGGTGGAAGGTCAGGTCTCCAGCTGGAGGGAAGCATCTGTTGAGAAGAGCCCTAGGTAAGTGCTGCTAGATAATTCTTCTGATCAGTCTATTGAAGAAAACTTTCCCGAAGATTTTTCCAGGCAGGGGGTGAGGGAGAGGATAGGGGTTGGTGGGAGTGGGCTGGATTTCTGAATTTTCTATTTGCTAGTTTCACAAGAGTTTGAGCTTTTAAAAGGTTTTAAGTGGCTTGGGAAAAGTGACCTTTGGGTAGAGTTCTCTACATTGTATCCAAACTAGTCTTCTCATTCACTCAAATATTTATTGAGTATACCAAAGCCACGGTGACTGACCTTCAAGTTTGTGACAGGACCCACTGTAGGGCGTTATTTTGGTTTTGTTACCATAGTCTGTGGTTTTATAGGCTCAAAGATTTTATTGTTTATTCACCCAGAAGCAATAGGGCTCCAGAGGACTGACACACACTGACCAAATTCATAAGAGACAGATATATAAATAAGAAAGTTCAAATGCTGTTTTTCACAGAAAACCATCAATCAGACCAGACATTTATGCTTCCTGATTGGGAAATTCTGTCCTTGAAAGCAAATCATAACCTTTTCTGAAGCCAGATTATAGCCAGAAGGGTGTTGGTGAGCCAGAGCCCTAATAAGCCCTGTCACTGAGTTCTGAGACTCTTAGGGAGACCATAATAGTGTTCTTAACCTTTGGAAGATCTGATGAAAGCTATCACCCTTTCCCAAAGAGGGGAGAAAAAAGTACTAGTATAAATTGACTATTGAAGACAGTGTTTTCACATGTATCCATATAAATCTATAAAATATTTCTGGAAACAATGCAATGTATAGCGACTCTGACATTTTTGCATTCTAAGAAAAAAAATTAGTTCTGGTTGGGATTCCTAAATTGACTTTACTACTCCCAGTTTGATTTAACAGGTTCAAGGACCCTCTAAGGAAG